CCAGCGGAAAAGGTTGTTTTAATGTTACAAAAATTTCTAATTGATCGTCTCGACATCGAGATGTCTGAATATAAAAATAAAAAATAAACTTTTGAGTCGCAAAAATAGTGCATCTTGCAATACATTATCTAGACGGTCCATTTTCAAGATTTTCATATGTTTATAGATTTACTTGATTTTAATCATTTTTTAAGTTTAAAAGTTTATAATTATATATAAAAATAAATTTTTAGATAATCTTAATAATCTTTTTCACTAAAATTACATGTTACGGTAAAATTTGGAGGTGCGCCTTAATTGGATCGTTTAAGGTAGCAACCTTATAGAAACCTCATCCTTAGATATAATCCAAAGCATACATGCTATTGATGTATGATAAATAGGGAGCAGTAGGAGGAACCTGTATCAACCCTTGCTTCGGGTTTGGACCACTGTTTGAAAAATAGATCAGTGATCCAGATTTGCCATCCAGAGAACCGGCCTGTTAACAAGTCCCTTGTATTTTGGCGGAACAGGACTGGGTTCCGATCCGAAACAGTTGGTTCCAGTTTGGTTCAACGTTTTCATAAATATTAGTTCATACGTAATTGATTATAATGGTTAGATCTTGCACTCGGCATTTAGAGAGGAAGGGATTCGTTTTCTTAGGGCACATTGGGTTGGTGTAAAATTATTCTTTGGGAAATAATTTCACGGTAAATTTGACGTACACATGTTTGGTAAGAGAAGAAAACGCATGAAAATACAACATATAGTCAAATCAGTGCCGGAAAAATCAGACGGTTAAAAAAAGAACAGGCCGGTTCCGGTTTAGGTTGATTTTGATAAACCGGCTGGGTATTTTAAAAAAGTTCAAAAATAACTATATAAAAGGATTGTTTACAAAGAGGTTGTTTTTTTACATAAAGATGTCACAATCATTCATGTCTTTTAAATTTCAAAATGGGTTGTTGTAAGAGTCATTGAATAGGCACAAGATCCAAAAAATAGTTCTCAAACTTCGTAGCTCATCCCAAACCATTCAATTTGACATCTAATGAGTAGGAATAGTTGTGACCTTTTTAAGCAATCCCTTCTTTTATATAAAATCTTAAAAATTAAGGGATTGTATTTGTAATGCATTTTTTAATATTTTCTATCGTTTTGGCAAATATTGAAAATTGTTTTGACCATCAATACTTATTTTTTACAGTTTCCATCTTTTCTGAATTTTTTTAAAAATACTTTGGGCATATATCGATTATTTAAAATCCATCTTTTTCATTAATTTTTAACTTTATTTTGATGTGCTTTAGTTAATCATGCGTTAAATATACTTTTCATAGATATTTCTTTTTGTATTTTTTATTTTTTTAACAATTTTTTGATTGCTCAGGACTTTCTCGGTTAGTTTGGTTTATTGGTTAGTACCAAATAACCGCTTCCGCCCCCATGTCATGTTGATCGTTCTGGTTCCATTTTTTGGGTAAAACATTTTACTGTAAAAATTACCTCAACCCTTGGGGAAGTATTTCTCATTTTACTATAAAAATTACCTCAACCCTTGGGGAAGTATTTCTCAGGTTCCACTAATAACTATTTACAATATAATTGATGTTATATAATGGGTGTGGTTTCTATAAGGTTGCAACCTTAAACAATCCAATTAAGGTGCACCACCAAATTTTAGTGTAATTTTGGTGTAAAAGATTATTAAGATTATCTGAAAATCTATTTTTATATCTAATTATAAAATTTTAAACTTTAAAAATGGTTAAAATCAAGTAGATCTATAAATATATGAAAATCTTGAAAATGGATGGTCTAAATAATGTGTTGCAAGACGCACTATTTTTGGAACTCAAATTATTTTTTTCTTGCATATTCAATCATCTAATTAGAGGGCTTTTCAACATTAAAACAACCTTTTTCCAATAGATTTTTGAGGTGCATCTTTAATTCTACATTTTAAGGTTGCAACCATATTTAAACTTTTTCCTTATATAGTATCTTATTTTATATTAAATAATATACTTAATATATAAATTATATTCCATTAATATTTAATATAAAATACATGGTTATGTTAAGGTGCTCACGCTATAGACTAATTGATCATTGTATTCAACAAATTTTAAACATTTTTATACTCTTGTTTTGTACATGGAGTATTTTGTTCATAAGGGTACTTTTGGTAATGGGAAAACTTCCTATGCTCCCCCTATAGTATAGAAGTTTTATCTTTCCCCTACCATCCAGCTGTCCATTTTTTATCAAAAGAGCTACTCGCCGTTTGATCTTAGATCCAACGTCTCAAAGTATTTTATTTTTAAAATTTTTTGAATATAAAATTTGGTACGTGCCATCTTATTATTGGGGTGCACCTATAAAAAATATTAGCAATAATTTTTTGATAAAAAATAATGACCAAAATACCCCTTAAGGGTATTTTACTCATTTTATTTCATTAAAATTATTTTTTTATGTATTTCGTTAGTGCAAGTTTAATAGAGGAATGAACCTCCAAAATTTTGCATCAAAATAATTTATAGAAAAAAAACTAAAAGTAAAATAGTGTAGAGATGTGATTGTGATTGGGGTAATCTTAGCTAGCCCTCCATTAAAAAATGGACTGTTGGATAAAGGGGAGGATATAATTTTTATGCTGTAGGGGGAGCATAGAAAGCTTTCCCTTTTGTAATTAGGAGGGGTACTACGTCATCCACATAGAGCATGCTAGTGATATTTAATGCTCAATGTAGATGATGTCACACCCAATGTTGATGATGCACTTCTCTTCTAATGATAAAAAATATCATCACTAAAAAAAACTTCATGTACTAAACAAATATATATAAGTGTCCAAATCTTGTTGAGTACAATAGTATGAGCACCTTAACATTTAGATTATGTTAAGGTGGTCACACTATAGAGTATTTTATAATTGTACTGAACAAATTTTAATAATACAATATTTTTTACTAAGGATAATTTTGGTTATTAAGAGGGTTGTGACATCACCCACATGGAGTATTAAATGCCACTATTGTATTCCACATGGGTGATGTCACACCTTTCTTAATGACATAAGTATGCTTATTAAAAAAATGATCCATGTAAAAAATAATGGTTTATAAGTGTCCAAAATTTATTGAATACAATTATAACATGTTCTATAATGTGAACATTATTGTAAATATAAAGCAATA